GCTGGCTATGCCCTGTCACCGCCATTGCCTTTGCCAGCCCGCGAGTTGGGGACGACAAGTTTCGTAAATTCTTCTCGACATTACAAGACATCTGTGTCCTGCGCGTTCGGAATGCCCGGGACGTGGTCCCCACGTACCCCTTCGTCGGGTACTCGGATGTGGGCCAGGAGCTGGCGATCGACACGGAGAAGTCAGGCTACCTGAAGGGTTTTTCGGGGAATCTGGACACGTGGCACAGCTTGGAGATTTACCTGCACGGGGTGGCCGGGACGCAGGGGAGCAGAGGGGGGTTTAGGCTGGAGGTGGAACGAGATATAGCGCTCGTCAACAAGCATTTGGATGGTCTGAAGGACGAGCATTGCGTGCCGGTTGGGTGGTGGTGCGAGAGGAATAAGGGGATGGTGCAGAAGGAGGATGGGTCTTGGGAGTTGGTGGATCATGAGGATGATGTTGAGTTTTGATGTCCAGGCGAATCTAGCCAATAGAATGGTGGGGGCCTAATCGTTACTTAAAAAAAAAAATATTGTAATAAAAGTATAAATACAAAAACACACATTTATAATATAGTTATGAGTTTCTCATATATAGCTCAACATCATCCTATAATAACATCGTTGAATTTTTTTATCGCACTTTCTTTTAGCCAAGTCTAACAATATTAGAATTCGCCTTCAGATATATTTGGAACTAAAGTATCTCAGTTTAAAATATTTTAATGTGAACTTTTCTTTTCAAGACATATTTCAAAATTATTTCTCCATAATTAATGTAAAAATTGAATAAATTATAATATTTAAAAAACCATAATGTATAAAATGATGTACTAATATATAAAACATTTAAGAGCCTACAATTTAAGTTATTAACCACACACAAAGTATAGTAGATGATATGTTTTTTAATAATTAAGAGGCAATAATCAATTAACTAGAAGAGTGCTAAAAAATACAATAAGTGTGTAACTTTTCTTACAAGTTTAATAATAAAAAAAGGTTAATATTAGTTTCAAAAATTGGTAAGAACAAGAATTTCTTATCACCATTATTTCTTTCTTTTCATATTTTTTATTTTTTGTTTGTGCTTATGCAAGTATTGTCATTAATTTTTATTTTTTAATAGGATATTAAGCTATTTTTTGAGTTCTAGCTATACCTAATTCATAATTTTTATTTTATTTTTCAGTGTGGGCTTAGGCCCACACTGGTCTATATATAGCTCCTCCCCTGTCTAACATGTCTTTCTTTCAAAGTTGAAGAAAGAGTGTTTGGTTGTAATGAGGGAAAAAGTGGGAAAATTTTAATTTGAGATTGTGAATAAAAGTGGTGTTTGTGTGGTAGGTAGGTATCAAGAAAATGTCTTAATGAAGATGAGGAAAACATAAACAAATATAAAAGTTGAGGCATATATAATTATATTTATTTATGGGGTAAATAACTTTTTCCAACATGTAGTATATACTTGTTTCTTAGATTTTCAAACTTAAATTATATTTTGTTGTAAAATGCAATCTGAATTATATTCGACTACTTTTGACCTGCAAAAAAATGACACGTGTATGGTCAAAATGTGGTCGAGCGTGCAAATAGTGACTGTATATGTAGTTCAGGTTGTATTTTTACAACAAAAAGTACTTTAGAGGATGTCATTTTTTAATCTATTTTTTTATTTTTTTTTTATTTTTTTTTATTTTAGTAGAATGGAGTTAAGTGGAATATGATTTAAAGGATAAGGAGTGCAATGTAAAGAAAAAAGAGTTAAAAGACTGATTTTGAACTTGAAAGTGAGTTAAGGGATGTATGTGGAAGTCACCCTTAATTTAAATTGTGGAATTTAAATTGTGGAATGATTAAATGAGGACAACAGTTAATATTATAATTTGATCACGTTAGAAATAATAATATTAAATTTAATTGACCTTATTAGCAAATAATTTGGGTTAAAATTATTAATTAGTGGAATCCCCAAAAGTCATGATAAATACAAGGGGGCCTTTTGCAATTTTTCATTAAGTAGAAAGAATAAAACAGTAAGCCCCACTAACTCTCTTCATTCAGTTATTCCTCGTGCATCTGAGCAGAAGGGATTTTTGGTTGACGGTCTTTTGGAAGATCTCTAATCCCAAATCTCTATTCAAGTTCAGTGTAATCAATCAATATGAACTCATCAGGTACGCTTCCGCTCTTCGATTTGGTTCTCGATCATTCGATATGAATACTTATGAGATAAACCGATTCTGGCATAAAGTTAAATCCTATCAAAAGGGGAAACAAACCCCTAAAGAGCCACACAAGGACTAAGTAAGCAGGCAAGCAAAAGAATAAGTACAAGAGCCAACAAAACCAGCAAAAAAAAAAAAAAAAAACCACTTGAAGACAAAAATTTAGAGCAAAAGGAGACTAACCTCACTAGCCAGAACAAAAGAAGACTAAAAACTAGCAACAAAACACACTTCAGAACTCCAACCACTGAACCAAGCAAGCTGATTCCTAGCTGGAAAGTTGGCAAGGCAACACCATAGTCCATATAGGTAAACCCTTCAAACCCAAAAACAAGGACAAAGCACTCAGAATACCAACAGCACACACCTCAAACTACAGAAAAACTGAACACAAGGAAGCTGGTGAGCAACTTCAAAATCAATCCACTCTTTCTAGCTCCTCTTACCACCTCCAGATAAAACCACCATTTCTTATTTAAAAACTCAATTGTTCCTCGTCTTCCATAACCGCCAAAGAATATATGTTGAAAGATTGATCTTGTCTGTTATACAACAAGCATTATCAATATGGCATATGCTAGACCACCAATTCTAAAAGACACAGAAGACTCCCGAATCCCTCGCCGTTCAATTCCCGCTAGCTTTCAAACTCTAACAGCCCTAGGACATATAAAGAAATCGTTTTCCAGCTCTTCTTCCTCATCCCGACACAAATGACAGATAGGATCAACACACATGAATTCTTTTTCATTTGATTTGATCAATGCCAACCTCTCCCCAAGAAGTTTTTGATGTTGTTTTTTATTTTTAAGAACCAGGTCTTTGCCATTTTAGACGAGCTAGTTCTAGACTCTGGCACTGGAGAAACATCCTTTTTTTTTTCTGAAAAAAATGCCTTATAAGTAGAATAGGCAGAAAAAGGCCATGATTGTTCAGAAACCAGATCAACTTCTCTGTTAGATTTTTTTTCTAAAGGTTTATGTTCTGAGTTACCCTATATACAAATCAAATGTCGTTGTATCTTGAGGACTTTGAATTTTTTTGATTGTTTTTCTTTCTGCTTTTTGAGTCGTTTTTCTTGACATTCACAAACACACAAACAACAATAATTTCATTCTTAAACTCATTAGCAGTGTTTGAATATTGATTTTCAGGAATATAACTATGTAAAGGAAATAAGTAAATTCTTTTTTTTTTGTCTATCTTCATTAAAGCAAAGAACATTGGCACATGAGCTAACTGCATAACCAAATTAGGTAAATTCAATTTCATCAATCTCTTCTCCTGATATTTTGGTTCTTGCTTCTAATCATTTGGAACACAAACACGACTAACGATAATAGTAAAGTCGATCCGGCCACAATCGGAATACACAATTTACAACTTTTCTCACGAGGCGTTTGGTCCCCATTGTTTTCAGGCTCAAGAGAAGGCCCTTCTTTTTCTTCATCCAACCTTTCTTCTTCTACAACGCCATCTTCATCATCATCATCATGAGCCTTGCTGTGATATTCATGCACCTCTTGTTTACGCACGGACGTTTCTTGTATACTTGCAGCTTTTTCGACCTGTTCCTCTCTTTCGGGCCTTTTCTCAAAGGACTCAACAACGCGTTCCTCTAATGGCAATTTGTTTACTTTATCATTGTTTTCTTGATCTGAGGCCCCTGTATTCGGGCAATGTTCTTGTTCGTCCGCAATCTTCAAATTCAACGACCCTTCTCTAGAGAGCTCGTGTTTTTCATCAGCTTCCTCGATCTTCGTCCCCACAATTCCTTTGACCTTCTTAGGCATCGTGATCTTAAGAGTTGATTCGTCCTCATTGTAGTTCGCCTTGATCTCATCAAGAATCACGCCACCGGGGATTTTGAAGGCCTTTTTGAATTCTTTTATCGTTGTGCCTTCGTTGTACACTTTCCATCCGACCATGACCGTCTCTTTCACGTGTCTTTCGCCGCTTATTGCTATTACGGTCCCGTCCTCGTTTATGTCGATTTTTATGTGCTCTCTTTTATAACCTTCAAAATATACAGAAAAAAAAAGAAGAAATCATTTTTCTTCAGACTTGAGTCATATATCAATACCACCCTAAAGTTTAGCTTTTGTTAAAGAAAATTCAATCATGTCTCTTGTCTTGAAATGATATAGAAATTTCAGTCATGTCTCTTGTCTTGCAAGTAACAACTCAAGGTGTTAATAAAACAGCCAAACTTCGGCCTGGCCGACGTAAAGTTCTACTATGGATGGTGTGCTAGCTGACCCAGCCTTACACTGTGGCTCTATTTTCAAAACCCCCATTTAAGGTTGTAATATTTGTCCAAATCCATTAAATATGTACATAGTCTGGAAAAAAGGAGAGGAGAGAAAAACGAGAGAGAACCTTTGAGATGAGCAGTCAGAGTAAACATGTCATCTGTTTCTCTAGACAAGAAAACTGGGCCGGCACGGTCTTTCGAGAGTTGAAAATCAGAGGTGAAATCATCGGCTGCTCGTGTTAGTTTGAGTCCTAATTCCAACTCCATTTTTCCCAGTAAAATCTCGACACAATTCCGATCGAATTTGAGTAAGGGAACGAAAAATGACAGGTTATACATGAAAAGAAAACATCCAAGTTGAAGCAAAGCAAAGCACATATGCTTTCCTTCTTACAGTTTTTACCCATAAACCAAAACACATGCTGTACATTGCTTCTTCTAAGGGTTTTTTTTAGGCTAATTTCCAAGTCCGAAACACGAAAACGCAAGTCTTAATAATAGTCGGGTGTTCGTCATTTTTTTCGAATGCTTATCAATGTCATTATTTGCAGTTTCGAAAGATAACGGGATCCTTCGGTCATTAATCAAACCCAGAGAAGACGTATTTTCACTAACCGAACATCTCATGTGTATATAACCACAACTTGTGGATCAAACACAATCACTATCACATTGTGAGCCCCAGATCTCTTGTGGTTTTGGGAAAAACCACAGCTATGTTAGGTTGGCCATTAATCTTTTTTACCAATAATAATGCAAAAAATGAAACTTGTATGATACATCAAAAAATGGTCCCCTGATCTGTACCATGACAATCAATAGCCCTTCACATTGCTATCAAAACATGGTCCCTAATAAACCACAAAAAACAACTTTTGGCATTTAAAGCTTTTATTTGTCATTTGCCATTAAGCCAGCATGCCAAAAGCCAGATAAGCTGGCCTGCAGAGAGCCTGCAGGCAGTGGCCTCAGCCAATCTTGGCCTCACAAGTCTCAGCAAGTGATCAATTCTCACATTTTAATGTCCTCCAGATGTCAATTTTAGATATTATTGATGATAGTTATGTAGTTGCCCACTTGCCACCCATGTGCTCTTCTAGAAATCAACAGTTCCCAAGTGGTGAAATGTGGTGAGATATAGACGAAGAGGGTTTAGCGCAGTGGCGCATACCTCGCTCGGCGTATCCCAGCGCAGTGGCGCATATCTCGCTCGGCGTATCCCATATCCCGAGTTCGAGTCACTGAGAGGGGAATTGGGGAACCAGTATTAATCCTCCCGTGCGTGTGTAAAAAAAAAAAAGAAATGTGGTGAGATATAATTAAAGGCCATATCTTTGAAGTGATCATTCTTTCACATATAATGAGTGTGCATAGATAATTGAGTGTGCTTTAAGTTAAACTTTGAAAGTTGATATTGTGACAGATGTATGAGCAAAAATTGTTTCATTGCATTATGAGTTATGCGGAAATGGTGATCGAAATGCTGACAAACCACTTTTGACACATTAAGATGTGCTCACCAGCCACGTGTCAAGATCTCATAATTTTTTGATACTATACCCACCTTGTAAGTTAATAATATCTTGTTACATTAGTCGGTATATACATATTAATTCGTGTCTACCGTGGGCAAGAGAGATGGGTCTATACAGTTATGCCTCGATTCTTAGTATAAAATAAATGAAAAGGGAAAGGGAGTTGTTTTTGTATATTGAAGCTCAATGTGAACAAATCCTTGGTATAAATTAAATTAAAGGGAAAGAAAATGTTGTTTTTGTTTATTGAAGCTCAATGTGAACAGAACTATATATTATTCATGTGACTTGTGAACACATTTACAAAAGATTGTGAATGTGCAGGCAAAGAAGCAAAAATATATCTTGTTTCTAGAATTACAACTTTGAAGTTTGAATTGAATTACTTAGGAATGCTCCCCTACCCACTGTAGGTACATGTTAATATACCCACCGTTTATGTGTCATGCACACATTGATGGTATATTATTTTGAACATATTAACGTCACTAATGTGTGCATACCACGTAAGTGGGGGACATATTAACACGTGCCCACCGTGGGTAGAGAAACGAATTATCACCGCAAAACATGGGTCTCTCTCTCTCTCTCCTTTTCAATGCTCAGATGATCACATTTCAATTCTTTCAAGACTTTTCATGTGATCACACCAGATACAAGCAGAAAGGGCACCAGTTTCCAAAAATTCCATCTTTTATTTTTGTACCCTTTACCTTTAAACTTCATCGGCAATTTTAAGGCAAATGCTTTAAGGTATACTTAAGGTTACGGGAGATACTACGATTTTGTTACGGAACCATTCTGTCGAGGTTTGTAACTATTACATCAACTATCTCAAACGGTTATATAATGATCTAACGGTTACAAACATCGACGGAATGGTTCCTTAACACATCGTAGCATTTCTCATACTTAAAATGGTAGAGTACATGAAAGCCAAGAAACAAAGAGCTAGCTAATCAACAAAATTCATCAACAGCCATAATTATGAACATAAATCCACTAAGATTTCATTTTAACAGACACTTCAGAACATAACAATGGATGGCATCATTGGACAAATAGATTGTCCAACCCTCTCTTTTAACCCCTATTTTTCTTTACATAAGCCAAAATTATACTATACCACAAACACAAGAACTTATTGTCTACTAAAAAAACACAAAACCCACAAAAGTCCGATCAATCAATCATGGTTACCGTTACTATTACTCGCCCGGCCAACCGAGTCGAGCCCCTCCATCCTACCGCGCACGATCCTGTGAAAAACATCCCTGACTCGTTTTTCCATCGGGTCCAACCCGTCCCTCAAGGCCCCATACACAGCCCCAGCCTCACTCACCCTCTCTCTAACCTCCATCTCTCTCTCCTCCCCCAACGGGAATACCTTAACAGAATCCACAAACTCGTTCAACTGTCGACCACATTTCTCAATCTCGTGAATCTCCTTCAACAGCCCGCATGAGTTCCTCCGCTCCCGTTTCTTGGATTCCTCCAGAACCCTCTCGTGGATCGAGAGTATCGGGCCAGCCCACAAGAATTGCCTGGACACATAAAAATGGGTCTGGAGCCCTCGATCCTGGCAGGGGATTGCGGCCACCAGGGCCCACGTCACGATCAGGAGCACATAACTCATTGTGAAAACAGCAAGGCTGAGCCCGTTGGTCGATACAATCTCGTTGGCCCGAGGGGCCGCCAGGTTACTGCTAATGGCCTGAAGCTGCCGGGCAGCTGACCACGACCGGGACACACTCCAAGAAAGTGACCGGAACTGAGCCAGCCCCTTTTGCTCCTTCTGGGCATTGTTACGGCCGAATGAACGGTTTCTGTGGGCAAGGGCAGCCGTGTTGGACTCCTTCTCGTCAAGCATACAGAGGGCTAAATCTACCAGGGCCTTCTTCGCGCGACGAAATTGCCCTTCACCCAAGCTCTTGTGGCTAATATTATTATTAGTGTTGTTACTATCCAAGGCGCACAAAACGATTTCCAATTGCTTCTGCCACTGCCTGATCTGCTCGATGCCGTCCCGGATGGCGTTGCACACGTCCAAAGCCTTGACGCTCCTCTCGAAGAACTCAGACAAGTGTCGGTCCATGGGGGGCTTGCTCAGCTGGGCCCGGTTGTGGGATATAATGAGATTGAACTCCTCCTGGGAGGAGAGGAACGCGTCCAGAAGCTTCTGGAGCCACGGGATCGAGAGGAAGTCGTCGGGACTCGCGGAGGCTAAATCGTGAAATCGGGCGGCGACCTTCTTCTGGAAATCCTCCAGTTCCATCTCTTGGGCGTTGTTGGATTCGTGGGTGGGGTCCACGGCGTGGTGTACCTGGTCACGGCGACGGCTGAGGATGGAGAATCCGAAGGTCGAGGAGGATGACCCGTCGTGAAGATCGGTGGTTGGCATAGCTTGGGTTTACATGTAACAGAGGCAAAACTCAATAGTTTCTTTTTTTTTCAACAAATTTGAAATATTACAGAGAATTTTTTTAGAGACGGAGAAAATTGGGCTTGAAAAGGAAACACTATCGGAAGCACAAGAAAGGAAATTTTCTTGGCAATATTAGAAAAATCTCAAATTTCTTCCATGGATGAATGAGAAATTTGAACTAAATTAGGAAAAATTTCAAATGGGCACCAGCAAGATCCAAGAATTCTGATCAAATTTCAAGAATAAATTATTCCAAATTGCATATGCCCAGGTTCCAAGACTCAAACTTTACGGCAAAAAAGAAGATGGGAATAAGTTATTTCCGATCAATCTGAACAGAGGAGAGTGAGAGAAGTTTTTCAGTCGGTGTGTGAGAGAGAGAGAAAGAGGAGAGAGAAAGTGGAGGAGGACGAATTGGGAACCTAAACGAGGGGAGCCTTATATTGGGGGTGATTTGGACCGCGTATTAAGGTTTGTTGGAAGAAGATAACAGAAATTTTATGTTATTAATATTTGTTTTTCTTAAAAAAAAAAAAAAATTATTCAGAGTGTGAGAGAGAGGAGAGGAGCTTTTTTGGTTGCATAATCTAGAAACCAAAATTTGGTGTAATACATATAGTAATTAGTGTTTGAATTTGAGGAGTTAACGTCACTAGAAAAGGTAAAAAAAAATGTGGGGGTGTGATGTGAATGTGAAAAGGCCAAAAAAGGGAAAAGGTGGTCTTATTCACTGCGGGAAATTTTCACACACGCCGCTTACGCGAATCACACACGGCCTTACTTTAATACTTATGGGCCATGGGCCGGGCCATGGCCCAAAGTTAAATTGTGAGATACATCTTATTTTCGGTTGATTTCATGCTACCCATGTAGGTAGTGACCCCATGAGGTCTTTTATCAAAAATTTCACGTACTACATGGGTGTGTGTGTGAGTGTGTGTGAATATGTGGCTTAAATCTCATGGGGTACTACCCTATGGGGTAGCATCGACTTTACCCTTATTTTATACACTCTGTACGTAGTCCAAAATTAATGTATTTTTCACAACAATTTCAATTAAATAGTTCAACAGTGTAGACAAATTGTGAGGCACAAAACTATATTTTTAGCAACATTATGATAAGCACTATATGTTTATCAGTTTTGCTATGAAGTCAACAGTTGTTATATAATGGAGTCAACATTCTATATACAACAAGTAAAATATATTATATTATCTGATTACTTAAATTTACTAATAGTTTTATTAATATAATATGATTTACTTGTTGTATGTAGAAGGTTGACTCCACTATGGAGCAAATTGTTAGATTCATAGCAAAATTGTTTACATGATATTAGTTATCTATTAAGATAGTTGTATAAAAACAAGATTGGTTTGTTAGTTTGATTGGATGAATTTTTCTAAAAAGTCGGAGATTATCTTACAAGTTTATCTAAGTAGATTTTCAAAATGGTTCACTATTTTTTTTTTTTTCTCTTTTTTATTTGTCCTATCATATAATTTTAACAAATATTTTGAATATGT